GGGATGAAAGTGCTTTGTGTGACGTAGTACTACTACTAGTACTACTACTAGAACAACAACAACAAGAAATGTGTGGTACTGGCCGCACAAATCTGGCTGGTGGAATAGTTTGCTGCTTATGAGTACACAAAAAGCACACTAATTTTAGTTGTCAGCTGCAACACTTCATTTAACTTGTGACATTTAGTAGCACACTTCATCATATCAGCAACTTTATTACAAACTGTTATTTTTTGAAGAAAACAAAGCAACTACTATTGGCACACCTTTATATTTCTTGTTGGAAGAAACAGTATACTGGTGCAAAAAACTGCAATGCATGCAAAAACAGCCATTCACGTTGTGCTACAGTTTTTATGGTAAAAATTTTCATACTAGATTTTTGATTTTTAGTGTCCCCCCCCCCCTCAGACAACTCCCCATTTCCATTGACTAGTATTCCAGTAAAAAAAAACACTACTATTCTAGTATTGGGTGATTCCCACCATTATTGTAAATTGCTGAACATGCCAAATCTAGTAATTCAGCAATTCTGTAATAACAGGAATCAAAATTTCAAGGGGCAGATGGCAATGCAAGGAGGAAGATAGGCTTCATCTCAGTCTTTTTGGGAATCTGGAATCTTCAGCAGCACTACTAGTAGCTAGTAGTACTACTATTAGTATACTAGTAGTTCAACGTAAACACCACTGTTAAGACCACTTAAAAATGGTACTCAAGCCACTTGGTACAAATAATCTTGTTACAGCAGAAAAAAAATTTTGATTTGTGGGTTCCATAATAGATCTAGCACAATTTGAATGGGGGTCTTCAATCCATTCAAAATTTGCTAAATTTTGTGCTAAAGAGGAAGAACACGAGGCTCAGAGGAAGATGAAGAGGTATGATGATGGTATGAGCAGCTTTGGTAGTGGTAGTGGAATTCAGAGCAGTTCCTCTAGTGCAGTTAGTAGATATGAAACACCATAAAGATAAAYTAGATTCCAGATGGGCTTCACCAGTATTCTACTAGAACTGTCATAGGCCCAGGCCCACTCCTCAAAGGCACAGCGCGCTGGTCCTTGGGGTATTGCTCAATTCTATTGCATCTACTCTTGGTAGCTATGATTCCTACTAAATATAAAGTGTATACAAATAGYACTGCTGTAGATAGACGAGGATGGATCTTGCATTGGATCTATTCCTCTTGAGTATGTCTCAACTGTTGTTGAATCAGTCTAGTCAATTTGCAAATCAATTGAGTTTCCAGCAATGAAGTACAGCTGTAAGGCAAGCTGCTCCAGGGACTGGAATCCAGGCTCCCCAGTAGGATTCAATTGTCATAGGCCCAGGACAAGTCACCATGCTGGCAAGAAGCCATGCTCCACCAGGAGGGGATTGCTCCAGTCCATTGCAGCCACCCCATGAATCCAGCTCACTTGCTGGAGACCATCAAGGTGGTGCTGTTATTGCTGTGACTGAAGACTTGCTAGCAAAAGCAAGAGGAAGACCAGCCATATTGGCTACGGTGCACTACACTGCACTTCACTAACTTTAGTGCGCGGTAGCCAGTAACTTTGAAGAATTCTTACAGCCCTSCTGGACTTACCGAGGAAACAAAAAGAAACTTGTTTTTAGTGTGGATTTGTACAAACYCTGGTATACCATTTTTTGCAAATAAATTAGTACCTTGACCAAAAATAGATTATTCATTTTTAACTTAAACATTCAGTCATTGTTGTGACAATTAGTCATTTTAGTAGCAACAACCTAGTTTTTGCACCGTAGTAAGTTTTTTTGGCCGCCACCGTCCTTAAAAAAAAAACAATGGCGGCGGCCGCAACCAATTTGGGGACGCTGGACGCTGCAATGCACAAAATAAGGTTAGAACCAACCCCAGCAGAAGATTCCAAAGAATCCCCCAAAAGGAAACAGAAGAGAACCGATACTTTGGTTGAAACTGCAAACTGCGGTACTCGTACGAGGTAGGAAGGCGAATGTGTGGGTGACAGGTCCGGAGTCAGTACAAATTTTACACAGCTCTACGGAGGGAACAACAATACACCTCATTTGCCTTCGCAACATGAACCTGTCTCACTTAAAAAAAAACATTAAGTATTTTCATATCGAAATATTTGGTAGTACTAATTTGTATGTAAGATTCTACACACCTTTGGGATACTGAGGGCTCTTAAGAAAAAACCACTTGGCCGATCATTCTAAGAATTCCAGATCCCCTTCTTCGAATTATAATGAAGTTATTCCAGTACATGTGTGGAGTGGAAGTGTCCCTAATAGCTCTGTCTGGAGGGTGTGACAACCCTCATGCTGGTGTATTTTTTTACTAGAAAAACTGCGCGGTTTTTTTAGAATTATAACATGTCACATATTCGGTCCACACATTTGCCTTCCTACCTTGTAGTAATATTTCTTGTTGACACATAACACATGTCCTGATCGACACAGACACTGATATTGACACTGATACAATCCATCAAGTACGGTACGAGTTTCGCATTACGCAAGGCAACTGTGCTACACATGCACCCCAGAAGGAGGTTGCTGCTGCTGCTCCCACGTTGGGTGCGTTTGCTTTGATTGGCTGATTGCTCCTTCTTGATCGAATCCCCAATCGGGCAAGCCGTTGGGGTTCGTGCTTCAATCCAGCGAGAAAGCGGAGATCGAAATTGAAAAACGAATCACGCGCTGATATTCGAAGCAAAGTGGCTTTGTTTCCAACCCAGACAACACACGACAACAAAGAGACCACGAGCAAAACAAAATAAAGCGAGCAAAGCAGAGCAGACGACAACGAAGCAAAACAGAAGCCCGACCATTGCAATCTGGGAGCTCTCTGTTTGTTCTGCCGCTATCACAATTCGTTTGGAGGCGCAAGACAATGAGTTCGAATTCGAAGAATGTCGTCCTCGCCAATATAAAGACAGAGCCGTTGCCAGAATCGCCACCGCCACCGCTGGTGCTGCCCAAACCGCTCTGGAATCTCGCCAAGGGCGACAACGTCTGGGTAACCCAGGGCAAGACGGATCACATGGCCACCTTTGTCGGGGATCCCCGGATGGTGTGCATCTACCCCGATTCGGACGACGACCACAACACATCCCCTGGGGAACCCATGCAAAAGAAGCAGCGGACCGATCGGGGGACGCAACAGCTCGAGGTGAGGATACGATGGGCCACGACGGGGAACAAGGGGTACGTGCAGGCTTCGAGCGTTCGGCCGGTCGTCTCGGGGGAGCGCCGCCGCAGGCAGCTTGTGAGCCATTACGACGCGGCTCCTTCCAAGCGGCCGGTCTACACGCGAAAGAGCAGGGGGAAAACCGGCGGGACCACTGGCAGCACCAGCACCAGCACCAGCACCGGTAACAATCGCAGTAAGAATCGAAACAGCAGCAATGTCAGCAGTGCGTCCGAAGCATTCCAGCCGGCCGATGTCGTCTCCGACGCGAGCAACCCGAAGTCTTCCATAGGAAATCCGGTAGACGAACAGCTTAGCGACAATGGCAACGAGCACTCCACGCCCCCCACAAGCGGGAAAAGGGCGGCTTCTTCCCCCATGTTCAAGATGCCTTCGAGGGAAGAATTCCGAGAGATCATGCTGGAGCGGGAACGGAAAAAGAAAGAAAAACAGCTCAAGCTCCGGCAGAGGCGGATACRGCAGCTGRCCCGCAAGAATGGGGCGGCCAGTAGCAACAACCCCATCTGCGGAATTGGAACAGAGGATGACGCCACCGAGAGAGGAACCGCACCCTATCGCACAACCATAGATGAGGGCTATCAATGGGAGTGGGAAGCGGGATCATCTCCTTCCTCGAAAGCTGCTTCGGCCCCAGTGCCGTACAGGAACAAAAAAAGCGAAAACTATTTCAAACCGGTTCCGTCCAATTTCGGGAAGAAACTCCCGCGCTCCTGGAAGGAAGCCTACCATTTCCTGCGGGACTATCGTTATATCGAAGAAACATGCGAGGTGCCATCCAACCACCCGATCCTGGGGAAATTTGTTTGCGACCTGCGGTCGGAATACGAACGATTCCGGGCTCACACACGCAAGCAGCTCCGGAGGCAAAAGACGGAGCAGCAGCGACTGCAGCACCGGTGGAGCCCAAACCAAAACCACGGCAATGGCCAGGAGGGAAGTCTCTCGAACGTCAAAGCCTATCGAACCCCTACGCCAGCTTCCCCCCAAAAAGACATGACCCGGGTCGATCGATCGCGCATCAAGGACCTCAATAGACTTGGCTTTGACTGGAGGATCGAAGAACGAGATTGCCAAAACGAAACCGAGCAACCGTCGCTGCCGATGCTCGATACCTTCAAACCCGGCCACCAAAGCCACTCCCCGAGCACGGAGAAAGTCGATCCCACGGTGGCGAATGGAAAGTCCTCGGGCGATAAATACAGCAAAAAAATCAAACGCAAACATGAGAACAAATCGAACATAAACGATGATTCGGAAACCAGAACCGAATCGGAATACGAGCAAACCGATCACGGCAATGGTGATTCCTCAGTCGACGATAAAAGGGCGACCTTTGCGGACGAAAAGATGCTCGATGATGAGGTCACTCAAGCGAAAGAAACCCCCAAACTGCCAAAAAACCGTCTGAGCCATGCCGGCGACGACGCAGTGCTGATTGCGTCCGTGATGGAGGCCCAGGCCACCCTCAACGAAACACCTCTCTTTCATGACATCATCTTGAGCAAGCACGCTGCCTTCCCCACACACCTATACCGGCTCCTGAGGCTGGCTACAGTACGCCAAGATCTGGGTCTGGAATCCATCATATCCTGGACAGAAGACGGAGGGGGCATCTTCTTCCGGGACGACAACCGACTCCTCGAAGACGTGGTATCGAAGGCGAGCAGGATGAAAAAAATCGTGTCGTTCTGGAACACCATGAATCGATATGGATTTTTGTGTTCTCAAAGAGGCTTAAACGGAAACGGGAGCCAGTATAGGGTCTACTACCATCATTCTCACATGCAGGCCGAAGATGCGAATGATTCGTCACTTCGGCTGTTTTACCGGGGKGCTCCGGCGGAGCTCATCGGGAGCATCAAACAGAAAGGGGAAGGAACGGTCAACAAAAAGAAGAACCAACTCACTGCCAAGTCTCCACAAGAGGTTGGCGCAGTGAAAAAGCCTAGCAAGCAGAAGCAACTCACAAAAAGWSACAAGCGAAAGSATCCCTCGTGGATGGACGAAGAATACRGAGCCGCACTCCCAAAAAAWRGAAACACCCAACCCGGAAGATCGACCTCGTCGCTGTCCTCGGTATCGTCTTCTGAAAACGGAAGGATCGTCCATGCATCGAAGAAGAACCTTCAACACGATTCGTCTTCGACGTGGCGGGCCCAGGACCGATTGAACAAGAAGAAGCGGGGTAGAAACAGCCAAAATCTGCAGGGGGAAAGGCACCAATCCCGTCAACAGGTCAGGACCACGAGTAGCAGTCCTCCCAGGATCACCCCGTACGAGATAAATAAGAGCAACTGGGGAAAGATCGAGCGGTTGATCAAKTTGAACCGATGCAARCGCCTYGGCGATGTCCGGGGCACCATGAATGAAACCTCCCAATCCCCGACCAGTGAGAACGATGTCGAATTTGTGTGACGAATCAAGAAGCAACGATACCAAAGCAAACCGCCAGCACCAGTTTTGGGAACAGCTCCCAGAACCAAAGCACGAACCAGAATGCAGGAACCACCAAAATAACGAATGCATCAACTTGCATCGCTAATTAGAGCTTGTTCCATCTAAATCTGGACAAGGATCTGCGATAAGACTTTGCTGATTCCTTTCGTTTCTATTACTGTTGCAGTTTGTTTGAGATAGCTGTTGCACAACTACCATGAAGGCGAAATTAGAGTATGGGAAAGGGTATCATATTGTGACACCCAAAATGCACATTACAATCTACTCATGCATTAGTACAAAAAATGCGTCTCTTAAAAAAAAATAGATAGATGGTGCCAAAAAAGATCAATGTTTCGATCGAGTTCGTTTTATCGCTTTTTTTTTGCAACCGGCACGCAGGTTTCTTGGAAAGAGGTCCAACCGTCGCTTATCCATAGAGCACTTGCTGCGTAGAGATAACAAAAAATCGACCAGTTCCCCTGGTTCCGCTGCCGCAGCTCTTGCCGCCAAAGCAACGCCCAAAAGCATCGAACGATGAATCTACCCAGTTATTTCCCATGACACGGGGTCTGTTCCCGGCTTTTTGGGGTACGGATCCAGCTCCAAACAAAACGTCTGGGCGATCAACTCACCAACATCCAACTGGTCGCTCGATAGAGAATATATGGCTTCGTCTTCGACTGTATCCGCGAGGCCGTCGCCCGCGCCTCCAAAGTCTGCCTCTTGGATTGCGGATTGCAGGTCGAAGATGTCCGATAGGTTGTAGGTCTTTTTGTTTTGGTGAAAGACATCGTCTTTCTTGGGCTTGAATTTTTTCTTTTTCTTCTTCTTTTTGCCGCCTTCGGCTTCCTCCTCTTCTTGCTGCTGCGCAATCATCAGCTCTATGTCGTCCTTGTTGTTGCTTGTCACGGGCTTGACAATTAGGTAGACGGGAAATTCCACGTCGACCTCGAATTCCTCGTTTGTCCGGACGCAGGTCTGGGTAAGATGGGCCTCAATAGTCCCCTCTGCTTCGACCGGGAGGCCCCCACCGGAGGTCCCCGCCGCGAGGGCTTCCGTAGCCGGACGGATCGATAGCCTCGCTTCCAGCGTTTCGATTTTCTTCAGCTCGAATCGATCCGCCAGGGCCTGGCATTCTTCGTCGCTCGCTCTTATCTTCACCTCGTGGTCTCGCTGCTGGTTGTTTCTCCCCCGCTGCTGAAAGATCCGATCGATATAGATCACGCGACTAAATTCGTTGCGGGAAAAGGCCGAGTTGATTCGGCCACCGCTACTGCCGCTCAAGATGTCCTCGTCCGCACTAGAGAAGATAGGGATGTTGCTTTTCATTGTGTCCAGGGTTCGATGTTCTATGCGGTGCAGTTGCCGCGAAAGTGGAGCAAAAGCGTAGGTGCTTGCAACCAACGCAAGGCAGCTGCCATAGTGGCAACATTTCAGCATCATTCTGGTCTGTTGGTACCGACTCCGGATCTTTCAATAGAGTTTCTGATTTTTTTTCTTTTTCGGGCGTCCTTTTTACTACGACAGAGGAATCGGAGAAGTGTTCAATTAAGTTACTCTATCTATCAAAAAGCAAATTGCGAATTCGTACCGTGGGCCAGCTCACAGCATATAAGTCGACATATCAATTTTGTGAATCAATCTTTGTTCCATCTTCGATGATGATGTTTGCCACATGTTTACCTTGTGGCAAACATCATTGCATCAGCAAATCAGCATCGAGCATATCGAATCGAAACTGCTTACTCGTACTCATACGTATTTCGACAGACAGACGAAAATTTCTATTGGGAGTGCTTGGGAAATTCGCAAGGATTTTTTTCGGTGGCCGAGATGATCTTGCACCTATCATCGTGCCGTACGGAGGCAGACCAATAGAGACATTCTCCACGACTCAAAAAACACGATTGACTCGTGCGGTAGATCAAGATTGAGGTTCTTCTGCTYCAGATACAGGTAGGAATAGTACGGTACGTAAGTACTTCGTAGAATAGTACGAACTCGGTAAATTCTTGCCCTCACGATCACGAACTACAGTAGATCTCGCATGGACTGCACGGTACGTAAGGTACTCGTACTCGTACCGTAGGTGTCTTGCCCATGGCATTTTCTGGTTCTTGAAGGAGGATTCAAAAATCTCATAATCTCATAAATACGAAATAATCACAAATTCTGAACCGAAGTCCGAGCTAACGAATCAACAAACAAAGAATCCCAACACAACCACAGAAAACCTGAAAACCATGGAAGGTGTACAGATTGCAGTGAACGTTAACAAGAACGCTGTTAGTGTTCCACAAACGACGACGGATGAGACACCACCCGGATGGAACCGCGGTCGCAGATTTATGGCTCGCTGGGTGTTGTGGTTCGTCGTCTTCACTCTCTTGAGTGGCAGGACGATCTGGGCCACTATCTTCAGTGCTATGTCCATCATCATTATGAAGGAAGGGACTTTGTTCTCGGGGAAAAACATCAAGTGGATGCTCCTGAGCGGGATTTCGTTTCTTGCAAGCCTCGGCTCGTGGAGTATGTCGCGAGGGTCAGAGGTCGTTGACGAAGACAAAGCATATGGCCTCAAAATGTCCCTGTGGCTTATGGCCAAATCCACACAGGTCGTTTGGGGGATGATTCTCGCGGTCTTTTTGTTTTCGGCTGCAACCAGCCGGTCGTCCCCTCCGAAAGAGGTTACAAAAGCTATGACAGGTGGACACGGAAAGGCCGTTGGCGATGGGACCAAAGAGGAATAAATAAAATGGGTGSATATGGGGTTGGTCCCTGATCCAGAATCGTTTTTTTGCCAGCAGTGTAAGCCATTTTSTTCACCGCCATATACATCACCCCTTAAGATACATGAAATTCCATTTGATGCTCGCGCATTCACAATATTGAGGGTCTTAGCATGAAGAGTATCACACATGAATCGAGAAATGTGAGGCGAAACGAAGAGGCATATAGTTCATCAAAATGCTGCATTGAATCCTCCACCGACACAATTCTTGGACGATTGTTCGTTCCGTTTCATCGCATCAATCCGAGGGGGAAAACTCTGTAAAATAAATGCTCAATTAAAACAGTCGTTGACTTTTTTTATACAATGTACAATTTTTTCAATAATAGCTTTAGGTAGTGTCCATGTGTACCTTCTTCAATATTTTCAAGGGATCTGGTTGATCCTTTTTGAACCTCAATAAACTTCTCATGTATGGTCTTATGTTTCCGTCTCTCATATTGGCCGTACCGCCATCGTTTCGAACGTGAACCATTGGACTATAATGAAACTTTCGCTTTGGATGTTTCCGTAACACCTTGCTTCGCTGTTTTATTGTCGTAACCAAAGGAAAGTCGATGTACGGCGCTTGCTCCATGGTTACAATTTCGCATGCCAAGTCCACATCCAAGTCTGGGTCTGTACTATTCATTGTTCTATTCATCGCTTGTTCTTGTTCACTCTTCATTGCCATCAAGAGATACTGGTCCTTCGCATAATCAGTAACTTTCTTCTGATCGAATCCCTCTCTCCATCTTTCTAAGCAAGGTTGAGACAAAGACCGATCAAGAACCATCTGCCCTCCTTGGATTTGCCATTTTCCGGAATTCCCCTTGAACATCCACATTTTCCCACGCGCAATAGAATCTGTAACATTAGCGGTCGTGTTGACCCCGAGACGTCCGATACCATAAGTCTTTTCTATGCCATGGAAAGCCGGTCCAAGATCACTCCCGAAGACGATATCAACGTCTAAATAATATACAAGCTCAACTTGTTCTAATCGCATATCTCTGTTCATGTATTCGATAGCGTATGTTTTGAACCGTTTATAAACCATGTTAGAAACCTTATAATGGGTTTTCGTGTCTTCTTTTTTTGGATCCATAAAAATAACCTTCTCTGTCCAATTGTTCATATTGGCGTAGCGATCGCTGGGAGCATCGGTCAAAACAACAATCCACCCAGAAAACTTTCCAATCTCCCGAGCAGAATAGACGAAGCGCTCAACAGTGTTCATCTTCGCAGCTTTTTCCCCCATACTAATTACAAACATGGCTCTTTCAATGTCATCTTCGTATGTCTCTTTTTCTTTTTTGCCCTTTTTATCTCTGTAGCCTCTTCTGCGACGCCTTTTCGCTCTTGACGAAACGATCTCAGTACTATTTGAAAGATCCGCTAACGTTGTGACCAATTCATTTGGTGACACATTTTTCCAGTTGTCATCATTTTGACTAGATCTGAATAGAACATTACTGGAGTCTTCACTCTCCTGAGTCGTTTCTTCGTCATGATTCGAACGAGGAACATCACTTTTCTTCTCCTCGGCTGATTTGACTTCCGATTTTTCCTGATGTTGTTCCTTCTTTCCTTTCTCACGTTGTCCGCCATCGAGGTATGTTTTTGTTGTGATCCCCAGTGTGTCTTTTTGGTCAGTTTCAAATCTGAATAGATATCTAAGATATGCTTCAATATCTTCTGGCGAAGACTTTTTAAGGTCACCTCCGGTGTTTTTAATATGATTCAATACGGGAATAGGGTCATCATCATTGATTTTTCCATCAGCTATGTCTTTGATCAACGTTTTGGAAGGAAAGAGTATATGCTTTTCTTCTTGGGGCATGATGACTATTTCACATTTTAAAGAAGTGTAATCCTCTGTTTTCCGAGCCAACTTCTGATCGCTAAGCATTTGCATCAAATGGACCTGATCGATTGTGGACGTTTTGGGGTCCATTAATGATCGAAATCGATCTAAACAAGGCTGTGACGTTGACCGGTCTAGAATCATTTGCCCTCCCTGAATTTTTGATTTTTTGCTATTTCCCTTAAACATCCACATTTTTGCAGCAACATTACCACCCGTGTTGGTTTGTGCTGTAGTCGTCGAATTTGTACCAATTTGGTATTTTTGTTCCAAATCATTGAACAGTGGACCGACAGGATTCCCAAATACGATGTCAACGTCGAGATAATATACCAATTTCACGTTGTCCAGTCTCGAATCTTGTGACAGGTATTGCAAGACATAGGTTTTGAACTGTTTGAAAACCATCGCAGGGGCATGGTCGTAATGTCGAATGTAATGCTTTTCTTCGGGACGCAAGATAGTGAATTTGTCGTTGTCGACATCTGCCCAATTTCTAGATAGATGAGCGTACCGCTGCTCCGGTGCATCGGTTAACAAGACGATCCATCCCGTGAACTTGCCAATTTTCCGAGCGGACCAAACAAATCGTTCGACGTAGTTTGAATCGATTGCACTGTCTCCCATACAAATGATGACAAAAGMTCTTTCGATATTGTCCTCATATTCTCTGTCTCCGCCATCATTCATCTCATTACTCAAGATTTTTTTGGTTGCTTTGGTGGTTATACTCTTTATCTCGCTTTCTTCTTTGGCTTTGTGTTCAATTTCTAGACCCTTTGATAAGTTTGTCTTTCGTATTGATTTTGGAACCGAGTTGATTTCCACTAGTTTTAAAGCCGCGTCGTCGTATGTGGACACCTGCAATAAATCTCTCGAAACAGCCGTTAATGCTGTCAACTGTCGCAAGATGCAGGTTACTACCACGACAATTAGTATCCTGCTGACAATTTTCGACTTATTTATCTTGTGGCTGACATTCTTCTTGCCGGACACCATGGTACTAAAGCTGCTCCAACAAATCCCGGTTCGCACTGCACGCTTCTTAAAGTCCTGACGTCCTATCTATCGTCCTATCCACAAATATCTCTCAAGATGAGTTTAATTAACCTAGGCCCGAGGTTGATTCTTTTCAAATCGGATTGCTATGCGTCCAATATGCCTACGTACAACTAGTTGCGCTCAGACTTTCGAAACTTGTATTACCATGAACAGTCTAAAGTCTCTTCCAGCCTGCCGTTTCTTTTCTTGAAATTGTGATGCGAGATAATATTGCTCGAAATCCGTTTTTCAATCAGAGTTTCATTATTTACTTTATTCAGTAACGTATGATTCTTATATAAGGCAAGACTCATTTTTTCAAAAATGGAGCGCGAGGATGAGGAGGTAGAATGGCTCACAACAATTGGAGTTGTCGAGTTGAAGTAAAAATTAAAAATCATTTACTTGTACTGCACTTACCCTCTTCATTTGGCTGTTGGCACTCGAATGACGTGAGTAATACTAGCATACACTTAAGATTTTCACTGGCCTTACATAAATCATAAATAGATAATCAGATACGAATTGATACAGTCTTGAAGGAATTCAGGGACAATTTTTTGGAACTCGTACTAGTCCCGGTATCAAAGTGCATCCGACTAGTTAAAATTACTTCCACCTTCCACCAATAGGTATTCCATTCCCTAGAAATTTAAAAAATGAAAACAGTAAGAAAATGGTAGCAACTATCAGCATAGAGACAGTGCTCTGGACATTGGACATTTCGGCCTTCACGCTTAAAGCTATCGGAGACATAACTCCTCTGCATTTCGCKTCGAGTKTTTGGTTTGAATCGACMGATGGTTTCCCTTCATGCCTTCACGCACAGTGGCAAATTAGGTGCGCTATCATCGTTACAGGGAAGATCGAACATATGAAAGATGTCCCCCGCAAGAAGCCTGTCTGATTTGGCGGGTTTAGATCTCCGCCGTGACCGGTCTATTTTCGATGTTTGCGTCTGAATGAAGTAAAATCGTGCCGAAGTAGTGGGGGTGTGCGCCCCCTTAATCACGAGAAACAAATGGTGGTTCAGGCACGTTAAGCCATGATATCGTCGTTTGTGGGGCTMTTGGAGATGGCTCGGAGAGTACACGTGTCTAAAGTAATGAATTTCGTGCATAMCAGAGTGAACGAGCACATCAAAGCAAATGAATTATTGAACTTTAAGCAGCTTSTAAATCTACAGCTACAGCTACCGTACAGGGATCCGGGAGACTTTTGTTTYTTTCGTTTTGTTCCTCTTYCTGCGATATTGGCACATGGTTTTCCATTTCTCTGCATTCCCTGATTTTCGAAAGCATTCGGTTCAGTAGCAGGATTACCTTGAGGCGTCGTTTTGCGCGTTGCAAGATCATGAAATACTTCAGTTCTTGCTCGGCAAGGTCCATGGCAGTGGTGCCATCCAMATACGACAACCGAGTCGAGMTGCGACTTCTTGCCACACCCGGCCCCAAACTCTCGTCGAACTGTCGCTCGAATCCGTTCGGGTGTTTCTTGTAAATCCGTTCGATGGATTCCCGAATTCCAGACTCTGGTGGGTACCAGCACCTCATGGATTTCTGGACGTCGGGCCTGTCGCTCGAAATYAATTTGTCGTAGACTTCTTTCCAGCCCGGATCACACAGGATCCACTTCGGATTCAACGGAAACGAGAAGCCGTGACTGATTTTGTACTTAAGGATTTCTTGTAGCTCGAATTGATCGACGTATACCCACCTGCATCCTTTGTATTTGTTCGGGAGGTCGTCGGATATAACAAGTAGCTTGTCATCGAGGTCTTGTGGAAAATAATAATTGAAGCACTCTGCTCCGTGTCGAACAGCCCCGGTAACGCTCAAGCGTTCAATGGCAAACTTGAAAATAAATTTCGTTTTGGGATCGCTGTAGCCACCCGTGGGAATCTCGTGGTGACAGCCCTTTAGTCTGGCATCCTTGAGAACGTTTAGCCATCGCTTCGTCCACGATTCTTCGTTCGGTGTTTCYAACACATGTTCGGTCTGCTCGACCATCCATTTTAGAACATCGACTTGGTCATCGGGTACCTGTTCTTCGTAATTTACGTTTCGGCTGCCGACGATAAAGCAATCAAAATCACTGACGACAGGTATAATCCTTTTGCGATCCATTTCCGGGTCCTTTTCTTCGTATGCCACGACAAGATTCAATGGGCTCATGGGATCATACGTATTGCTTTCGGGCTCAGTGACCCGATTTCGTGGTGGGTTGGAGAGTTGCAGAATAACCGCTCTCGTGTGTCCCCCTGCCACGCAATTCTTGGGCTTTCGGACCGCATCAAAATTCATGTCCTGAAAGCTCGGCATCGATGTTCGCCCCGTATCGTTTTCACTTCCCGGCTTTCTCTCAATATTTTGACGAACGACCATCCCTTCCCAAAAGAGCCGTTCGTTGACCGTCATCCCATACTTGTTGGAGGCTGCGTAGTCGTCAATTGTGTGAATTGTCGAGTCGCTCATCTCAAGAGTAAGCTTTTCCAGCGCATTCTCGTAGACATCGTCGTCGTAGTCGTCGGCATTGTTGATAATGTCCCTGGCCTGTCGTACGGTCTCCTCCATTTCTTTTGCCACCTCGTTGAGAGTCTTCACTGCCGTATCACGATTCTGTTCGTTATCGAAAAACACCCGTATCGTACCRTCCTTCCTGAGCGTCCGGACTTTTGCCTTGTCTTCTTCCTTGTGGATTTGCAAAAAGKGCACAAAGGCCGACAATACCCCACGTTTTGCTGACTTCCCTTTGATGTCGAGACCCTTTCCTACTCCCTGACCCAGCATCATCCTTCGAATAGCGTCCTTACTGGTGGGCCTCCAAACGGTAAAGACGGACGAYCGGCTGAAATACTTGAGCAACGGGCTGACGTGTGTCCGTTCAAAGGCGGAATTCCCGGTGGCACCCTCGTTCGCCACATCGTTGAAGAACTTGAGTATGCGATACCGTGGATCGCAACATCGAAATTGCCAGAGCCATTCTTTGCATCGTTCATTGCGAACAAAGTCTTCAAAGTCCTGGCCGACCGACACGACGGAGGTTCCGGCAAAGATCGGGACTCCTCCTCTGTTGCTTCCCTCTCGTTCGTAATCATCGGGTTCGCAATTGGAGGCGCGGTTGACCATGTCTCGAATAATGATGCTCTTGCCGGAATTTCTTCTCGATCTGTTTGATCTGTAGGTCGACTCGCTGCCCCATGTCGCATTGTGGGCCCCGATAGTACTATCTCTCTTGAGAATCCCAGATATGTTTGATCTGTAGNCGCATTGTGGGCCCCGATAGTACTATCTCTCTTGAGAATCCCAGATATGTTTGATCTGTAGGTCGACTCGCTGCCCCATACCGCATTGTGGGCCCCGATAGTACTATCTCTCTTGAGACTCCTACTACTATCTCTAAGAGTACTCAATTCTTGCCACGATTCGCCCTTTTGTACTATTTTGCTCCCAATCCTCAATATTCCACTCCTCCTCTTAACGAGGCTTCCATCAGTAAACGAAACAGMGTTCCTTCGCATTGGATTGCTTTCTTGAACGTCGTGGTTTTCGTTGTCTTCAGAAAAGACGTTCTCGTTTTGCGAATCTTGCTGTTCACTGGTGTTCTCATTATGGAAACCGTTCTCGTCCTCRTTTTTGTCCTCGTTCTCGTTATTGATGTCGGTATCGACTTTGACTTCAGTGTCGATGACATCGTCCATGACATCGTCCTTGTCGACAGTGTTGTCGATGTCATTGCCGTTGTCGTTTTCAATGCTGTTTCCAACGGCGTTGTAAGAATCGKCTTGTCCATTCTCATCTTCAACATCGCTCTCGATATCAATCTCAGCATGGCATTCGTCATCGGTCTCATTCATTACTCTTTGCAGGTCCATCCAGGTTATCCGGGCGGAAGCTCGCTTTACAAGGGTGCTGCTATCCGAATAGTGTTCGTTCGCATGCAGCATGCAGTTGAAGGAGGGCGTTCGGGTGACCGCTAGGGATTCTACATTTTCCACGAGTCGTCTCGCACTGTCTTTTGACATCATCGAGGCCCTATAATTTGTGCTGTTGTCGACATCACACGTGGACGTACAATTGCTATCGCATGTTTCGCATTCGTGAACGTCTTGGTAGACAACTTCCAGGCCTTTGCAACTAAGATKGTGGTTTTCAAAGGACTCCTTGAGAAATGCAAGCGAATCCAGTGAGTCGAAGTCACAACTTCTGTCGTCGCTGCTAGTCTTCATGTTCCCGAAAGAGGAACTATCGTTTCTACGGTGTACGGGTCTGTTTCGGATTTGGTCTCTGGGTTTGCGCCTCGATATCGAGAAAAGGCCGCGCTTGGACAAATACGGGAAAATTTTGCGCAGGGATTTCWGGCTGTTGCTACGTCCATTGTAGTTGTTACTGCTGCCGCTGCTGCTTTCGCCGCTGTGGGTTGGCTCCTGGCTAGTGTTAGCATCGTTGTCGCTTTCAAATGTCTGGCGGCGAAGCTTTTTCACCTTGGTTTTCAGGAACCGAGAAGACGCGACACCGGTCCAGGTACTGTTCCCAATTGGGGTCATGATATTCTTCCCTTTATTGGTTTCAGAGGCGATTCTTTGTTCTCCAAGAGAAGCGATACGAGCGTCGTCCTTTCTCGGAGCAATCTATTGGTGAAACAAGGCGAGATTCTAGGCGCGGCAACGAATCGTGCGAATCAATCAATTAATTAATCAATCAAAGCTGCCTGATAATGAAGACAAATGATGCAAATAACGCGCAGGAAGTGTTGTAGTATGATAAAATCCTGAGAACTCTTAGATGTATGTTGGTTTGGTTTGGTTTGGTTTACTAGTATTCTGATCTCGGTTGGCTGCCCTGTTTAGATTCACTGTTTCGACCTATTGATACATTTTTTTATCGTTCTGTCACTACCGACTCGTCGACGCATACGTAAGGTAATGTACTGGACAACTACAACCGCTCAACCGTTAGTGGCTTTCTGTAGGTACGAGTACTTTTACTACGAGGGGTAACTGAGGGTTCGTTTCCGGCGAAATGCAGCAAGTACGAAGTACTTTACTGTCCTTTACTACATACGAGTACTGCACGCATTATGACTAGTAGCAAACAAATAGCATGAAGGATTGTTCTTGTTTTCCCTGGATGGCGGBACGAGGAGAACATCCATCCAGGGAAAACATACGGTACGTACGGAGCGAAAAGTCGAAACAAATGGGTCACTCCCTTACAATCAACGGGATTCGAAGCATAACGTAAAAACAAGATTGCTCGGACCGCCTTTTTTAATTATTGGTGGAACAATTTCCTTTTAAAATGCCTGCGTCCCACCGAACCAGAAGGGCACGCTCGTAGAACTGAATCGATACTTAAATGAGATTGGAATCAGACAGGTCTCAACTTCAATAGTGCAAAAGTGCCAGGATGTCTTTCTACTTTTGTATCACGTTGTCCG